CGATGAGCACGTCGCGTGCCGTCGCATGCCGTAGTGTGCGGTAGTGTGCCGTAGCGTGCCGTAGCGTGCCGTAGCGTGCCGTAGCGGCCGAGACGATTGAGAAGCCTGCCCCTTCGGAGGGCGATTTCAGGGCTGGGCGCGGGCACGCGTTCAGAAGGGCCGTTTGGGCGGGCCGAACCGGTATCGCACGGCCCAGATTGCGGGCCAGTTACCACCTGCGGACGGGCCAGATCGCAGGCCGATGAGAAAAGTTTCTCATCGGCCTGCGATCTGGGCCGTCCGCAGGTGGTGACCGGCCCGCAACCTGGGCCGTGCGATATGACGTTAGCGGTTCTTATAGTATTGTAGACTGGCCCGTGATTACAGCCAGATACATCCAGGGAATTCCCAATACAAGTATGCCCTAAAGCGGTTGCCTTCAGAGCAGAACAAAACAGTCTATACCGTGTGCAGAACAGGAATGATTCTTCCACAAAAGCATCGCAGACCCTGGTTCTGAGTGCCCACCCACTTCTGCTCTCTGAGCTTGCCCGTGATCACGGCCAGATGCATCCTGGAGACTGTGTACACAGCCTACAGAATGGGCGGATGGATGATATGAGAGATGGCTTCACCCACCATACTGGACCCAACCAATTACCAGGCAAAGTTCATATCCTACCCCATCATCCAGCACAACAGTTGCGAGTTAGAGGTCCTAAATAAAACACCACTGAATGAACAAGTAGAAACCTACCTCCTTAGGAAGGTTAGTACCTCACAGGAAACCCTGGATTATCTTCCACCCGGAACTCGGCATCAAGAAGCTGGAATTCGACCCGGGCGCCAAGGAAAAATCGAGGACAATAACGAAATACGACGTAAAGTTTGGATATGACCTCGGACTACAGACCAGGGACCCAAATCCAAGGCTGACGGAGAAATGGAGAACTGCACTAAACCTAGATGCCACCATTCCCATCACCATCCCATGGACCAAATACCTTCTCATCAGACCAATCAGAATCCGCAGTATGCAATGGCTAATAGCACATGCAGCCCTTCCCATCAGCCAATGGCTACACGTGAGAAGGAAACATTCCGACCCTGATAAGCTTGGAAGGCTGCTCAATGTGCCGAAACAACTCACCCGAAGACATCCCCCACTGCCTCCTCTTCTGCCCAGAAGCGGCATGGATATAGAAGAAGGTTCGAGAGCTGTGGTTGATCCTGGTTGCCTCACCCCGCCCCAACATCCCACCCCTCTCCATTCTACTCCTAACTAACATCCCCAGCAACATCACGAGAGGCAGGGAAGTATGGTTCACCCTGCTCAGGAAGCTGGCACTGTGGGTGATATGGAAACGCAGATGCACGCAAACAATCGAGGGCGCAGAGGTGGCAAGGGAAGAAATGTGGTCCTTACTGCTGAGCATGGCAGAGACGAAAATCAGGAGCAGATGGCGGAGAATAGTGAACTCAACAAGACTCAGACCAGAAGGACAAACAACCAAGAAGCAGACTTTCATGAGGAGCTGGCTGCTAAAGGCAAGGTGGCGACGATAATTGACAACAGGTTGAGATGGACGAAATGGCACCAGACACAGTCAAGACGATTATAAGGTTTCCTGCCGGGCAAACTGGCAGAAGGGTCCGAATGGTGATCAACAACAATGCGAACCGGATACACAGTCTAGAACAAGGACAAGCAACAGAACACGGAGCAGACCACCCCACTTCTCTCGTATTTCAAGGACTCATTTGACAGGCTCCGTTTAGAAGCCTGAGAGGAACAAGTGGGTTGGGCAAGCTGACAGTCAATCCTGCCCAGAAGGAGTAATCAATGCTGGTCACGGTTCCTTCGGCCAGATGGAAGGAAGCTTGAGTGGGTAACACGATGTACTTTTTCTGACTTGCCGGGGGAATAGGAACCGGACTGACGCTCCCCAGAATGGAAATGGAGTCAGGACCATAAGGACCTGTTTTGAAAAAAAAAAAAAAAAAGGATGGCTTCACCCACCTCTACTCTGTTCTCTGTAAAGTACTCCCACTCTCCTCTGCTCTCGGTCAAGTATATGCCCTCCCTCCACTGCTCTGTGTCAATTATGGCCTCTCTCAAGTAAGAGAGGAGAGGCCCAGCTACCTCTACCTCTCCTCTGATCTCTGACAAGTACACAGACTATAGCTTGGGGCACGGATAAGATGAGAGATGGATTCACCCACCTCTACTCGGCATGGATATTATGCGAGATGGATTCACCCACCTCTAGTCTCCGAGTGGTGGGATCAAGAGTGGCAAAAAGCTTGTTCTCTGACAAGACGCCTGCATCCGTCAAACGGTTCATCAGAGTACTCTTTCCTGCATTTGTATAGCCAACCTATCAAGCACAGACAACACCAACCGAAGCCGCCAACAATTCCACGCACATCGTCACGTCCTCGGTTGTACACAAATATAGCAAAGAGCCAAAGCACAACGGAAGAGGAGTCTCAAAAATCCTGTGTGGGTTTGCAATGGAAATGTGAGCAGCAGTTCAGTTCAACAGAGAGCGCCAAACAGACTGTGTGCTTATCACTTCCCTAGGAGCTCTTCAATAGGAAAACAACTTGGTCTCACACATTCTCAACCCATTCCTAATAACCACCTGGCTGTATTCTCTCCCTCCCTCCCCCACACACACATACTCTCTC